AAGTTGTTCTCGGCCTCCTTTCCTCAAGCACTCCCTCATTCCCCTCATTCCTTTTTCCAATTTTCTCTCGCTCTTTTCAATTCATTCTTTTCATTAGTGTGGGATCGAAAAAATGCCTCAGGCAAAGACTATTGAATTTTGCCCAGAATTTTGAATTCGCTTCTCCTACTCGTGCAAAATTTTCGGTGCAATTTAGCTGGAAATACGATGAAACTAGAAACCTATCAAAATATATAAATGGCTTCTAGGAGGTGTCTTTTGAGGATTTTTTTTTTTTGAATTTGCCCCGACGTAAAGTTTACTGTTTTGGCTCTTTTAAGTACGATAAATACATTGAAAGCGAAAAGGAGCTAGGCTGCGATGAGAGCCAGGCAAAGCTTTGCTCTGCTTCTGACCAAGATAATGTTACTTATGGTCATTTATACGTCAGGAGCCCCATGTCAGTAATATTACTGGTCATTTATATACCAAGACTACCCAGGCAGCCGATACGGGTATCCAGTATTAATGATGTTACTGCGGTGCCCATTAGTGTCATATCCTGACCAATGGTCAGGAGGAACGTCCTATGAATACCTGCGGATGTACGTAGACGTACGTGGTTCCTGCGTGACCATTAGTGCAACTGTACTGAATTTAGGAAAAAAAAGAACTTTTTAAGGGAGTGGTAAAGAATTTTAAGCGCAAAATTAAAAAGTACGCGCGACAGAGCGCAATCCGCAAAATGATTAAGAGATTCGAAGTGGGCACTTATATCGCAAAGAAACACGATTTTCACATCCGTTTTCCTTCTCAGTATCCACGGGTTCGGACATCGGAGGAGGAAGTGGTACGTACATGCACATACACACACACTCACACATATACACTGACATTAAACAAATCTGCACAGACCCATTTACTCACGTACACGTACAAACACACACACACGGATGCACAGGCACATACGCGTGGAACACTTACGCAAATCCAAACAGACCCGTTCAACCACGCGTGCATACACGAACATTTACACATACACTCATACAAACACAAACATACATGTCTATATAAATAAATGCATTCACACATGCATACACAGATACGTACACATATATATGTACATAAGCAAATGCACACATACATACATTCACATACACACACATGAACGCACATACATACATATATAGTCGGAGTAGCTCATAACAATAAGATCTTTTTCAACCGGTTTTTGAAGAAAAGAGAGCCAATATCAGAGATTCCATCCATCTTTTCCTATCGGTTGCCCACTCCAACCTGAAAAAACAATGGGACAAGGTGGGCGGCGCAGGATTAAGGGGAGAAGGAGAGAAGCGTTAATATTTTTGAATCGAAGTAAATTTATCAACAACCGAGAATTAAAATAACAAAATCGTAGCGGCTTTTCAGTGTTTATTTTATAACTGGTTTTTCGATATGAACATCGGAAGATGTACAATTCGGCATGCTTTAGATGTAGCCTTCTCAGTAATGCACTGGTCAGTGAATAGCTGATGACCGTACTAAAGGCCTTTGTCCATTCCAGTGGCCTCAACTTGATACTTTTTAATATAGTACTTGATGCGAAGTCATTGGGCATGCAAAGCTTCACAACTGTAACATTTTGGCAATAAACTGTCTTAGATTGAAAACCTGTCACACTATAATTAATTGCTTTCCTTGAGGATCCACAAACCAAATCTTTTGCAATGATTTATTGTTTTTCTCTGTTCTTTTTTTACAGTGCCTTGGGGCTAACCTTTGGACAGCCGACCCAGTCTTGCTGAATAAGCCAGTACAATAAAACAGTAGATCTAGTGCAGGTGATTTCAAAAATACCAAATCTTTCCGGGCAGTCACTGTATATTTCCAATGTTAATGATGTTACTGGGAAACTTCCAGACATCTAGGTGCTCCTGAGTTGCAAACCTCCAAGGTCATGCATATAAAATTGATGGCCCGAGTGGAATCCAAACCCCTTTAACCATCCCAGCGATGACTTCAATGAAGGGGCTGAATCGTCGAGCTTTCGATCCTGAGCTGCATACCTCCAGTTATTGGTGAAAACTGTTTCACAACATAAAATAACGTGTTGCTGGTGTAACGTGGAAAAAATTTTACAAGCTCTTGAGCATTTTGAACTTACCAAATGAATGAAATGCGGTGGTTTGACTGGAAAATTTTGTGTGCTACTTGATAACTGAACCAATACTTTTAGTCCAATGGCCTTTCTACTTCATTCGATATGAGGTAAAAGGCTAACTACTCATTAGGTTTTAGCTCATTGACCTCCTTACCTCACTCACTCTAAGTTAACATTCATTACTGTCTTTGGTAAGAAAAACACTCTTCACTTTTTAGCCCGCTGATCCTCTTCCTTCACAATCAGTGAGGTAAGAATAGTAGTTGTAGTAATGGTACTGGAATTTGTGGTACTTGTACTGCTAGCAGCTACTACGGCACTCGTGTACTAACAGTTGTTGTGTTGGTGTCAGACGGCACAAAATGAAAAGATGAATCGAGGGTGGAACAGATTTTACTTCGAAAAAAAAAAAAATCCATCGATACGACGGGATCCAGTTGAGAACCAAACACGGGATACAGGATGATGTGTTCCAAGGATTCCATTCCCCCCTTCTTTGCTCCTACACCCTCCACTGCCGACATAATTTCTGTCCTTCTCACCTACAATTAAAAGTATTTGCATTAATTCTTCTTCCTTTTTCCGAAACATAAATTGAGGACAGTCGAAAAAGGTCGATGAATCTCACCAAATTTTTATTTTGAATTTTCCGCATATTGAATTTTGTTCATCAGCTGCCACTATTACTGGCTTACATAGATACCAGGATCACCTCCTCATCCAGACGGGTTCGGACGTATTAGAAGTAATTTCCCTCATAACTCGCTACCTTAAAATTTGACCAAACATTTCTTCCTCATCCTGTTTTCCCATATTACACTTGATCGATTTTCAAAATCCATTTCGGTACACCACGTTCAGTAAGCAAATAAGCTTCCCCCCCCCCCCCCCCCCCCCCCCCCCCCCCCCCCCCCCCC